CTTAGATATGAGAGGATCGTACACCACGATGTTCTTATTACGGATCTTATAACACAAGAAACCCCAATCACAGCGCTCTCTATAGCTCGCTTTGTGTATTTCAACTTTTGACCAAAAGTTAATTATCACCATCTGATTTTCATTTAATACGGTCAATAATTACGATTCAATGATTACGATTTTTTGTACGAACGAGATTAACGCGAAGGTGAATATAGATCCTACACAGCTGTAGGTAAAAATATCACCTCCTCTAAATAAATAGAAGAATTCACGTAAACGAAGTCGTTGGCAGAGCTTGGTACACAATAAGTAAAAACAACGACTTCTGTAATTAAATATACTTACCGATATTTTTTAATTTATTTACGTATATGTTGAGGCTTTTTTGCCAATTATTGACCAGCGCATAGTATTCTACATATCTAGAAACAATTACCACCATGAGCTGTTAATTTTTTCAAGATTTGTAGAATTGCAAACAAAACTTAAAATAATTTACGGCTACATGAGTAAGCATAAATTATTTTCTAGCTTTTGTTCGCCTTTGTTGAAACTTTGCCAGTTGTTCCACTTTTATTTGTGAAATGACAATTAGATTTTTTAGGCCAGTAGCTAACTTCTAACTAAATAAAATGCTTTTCTTTGGGGATATGTACACGTTATAACTGTGTAAAATAATGTACTTAGCACAAACTGTACTAAATAAATGAATTATCTTTTTTATATGAATGTAAATGTACAAAACTGTTTCGGTTCTTAACACGCCTTTACTTTTAAATGTATTATCTAATATTTCACATTGTTTACCAAAATTGACTATAATATATGCAGGCTTTTAACCACGACCATGGAAACTTCAAGCGGGTGCTTATTTAAAATTTTATTTAGTTTTATCTGCTTATTCTAGCTCTTAAAGTGACAAATATTCGTAAGAATCATTCATTGTGCATGCAACGCTATAAATATACATGCAAAGTACATTGAAGGGATCGTTGGTAAAACTAAACACGACGCTCATTCATATTTGAAAAGTGTTTTTATTACGAAAAAGCAACGGTGTTTTTTCCAGGGTTTCTGACTATCCAACACATTTTTGCTTTTCTATTTACTTAATACTTCTATTTATCATTTATTCATTTGAATAGATAAAATAATCTAAAGTGTTATAAATAAAATATAAAATTAATATAATAAGAACCAAATACTTAGGTACAACTAAAATCATATACGGTAAATCCTCTTTCAGTAGGCACAACCAGCGGCTTTAGTATCAGGACCCACGAACCTCACATGTTTATTCTCAACGTAGGTTTGAATATTTGATCCGCTTATTTATCTACAATATGATAAATTATTATTGTCTTTGCAACTAGATAATTTTTAATATTAATATATTATAAGAATACATATAATATAATAGACATAGGGAGAATATTTTGTAGTACTATTCTAATTCGAATACATTTATTTGTCAGAATGTACGTGTACAATAAAGTATGATCTTAAATTATGTCTAATGGCCCATTTACAAACCACCATTTTATATGGTATGCAAATATTTTATAGGTATACATGCAAAAAAAATTTAAACAAGTGGGAATTCAATTCTGTAAATTTATGATTTTTGTAACATAAATTAATTGATGTCAAAATTATAATGTCATCAAAGTAATAGATTTTAAAATCTCAGATTATGTAATGATTGTACTTAATTGTTAATGTCCATACTTTTAGGTTATTCATAATTAATTAATGATTGGTTATATACCAATATTACTGACGTCAGATTAATTTTTCACAAGAAGATACGACAGAGGGGTTCTTTTTAGCGGTTAACGCGCAAACTTGTGCCTTCTGAGGGTTAAACTGGACTAGATATAGTCGCCCCCAATCCGAGACTTTGTTCAGCAAAGTCTCGACTTCAGATACAAGTTTGTCCCGGTACTCGGATAAGTTTTCCCGCGAAATATTGGCACGACCGGTGTACAGAGCATCACCAGTGCTGTAATCTGCATAGCAAAGAATGTTGCCAGTTTGCAACATATCATTGATATTGTAACGCTCCCCCCTCTAAATAAATATATAATATTATTTATAATTAGCTAATTTCCCCTTTTTAAATAAAATTATATACCGGGTGTTGGTGTAAATACCGTTACCCTTGAAATCAGTGGTTTGGAATGAAAACACTCATTCTCTTTGGATCTAATAATAAATGAATATAAAGAGAATAAAATTTATAACGCAGCAATGGTGTAACATCACCCGCAATAAGCTTTGACGCAATTTCTCTGGATAATGTGACTTTATGACAGTCGTGGTTACGGCGCGCAATCTATAACGTTGACGATAACAAGAATTTGTAGCAACAAGAGTCTACGTGAATAGCAATGAACATAAACTGCTACTACTATGATGCATGGAAATAAAACTTGATATAAACTTAAAAAAGAAAACAACGAAAATCGTTATTTTATTAATTTCCAAATGCACTAATCTCACAAAATTTTTCAATAAGAGGCCAAGTTCAATAGAAACGACGGTCAGCGTTGTCGAGTGCCAAACTGCATAGCATTTCCTTAAAGCGTAGCTGTAAGAATGCCAAAGTTTGTCAATTGGAAGTAAATTAAAAAAAAAAAGAAATTTCATTGACATCAGTCAGTAATCAGTTAAAAAAAGGGAATCCATATTTACATTTTTATTGGTCTATGCAAGGGTCTTTCCTTCTTGATTACTCATTATTTTGTTAATAAAAAACTGCCGATTGCTTTAAGCCTCATAAATATTCAGAAATAAAAATAAATCTCATATTTCACTTCCAAGAGCCCATTATGTGTAAGCGTTATTATTAATAGACTCGTGGGAGTACTTGTAGGATGCGACTCAGAAAAATCAGGAAGATCATAAGGCACCAAATAATTGGTGGTGTAACCACCTTGATTACGCCAGGTGTAATATATACCACGGACAGCAGCGTCAAATGTACGAAAATCTGGTACTGCAATGTCAATCCGTCTGCAGAGCATGACTATTATCACAAATTCTATCGCTTAAGTCCTGCAGTGGATTTTTGTTGATCGACGACAAAGAAGAAGTTGTAACTACCAAGTTCATCACATTGATATTGCGAATTATCTATGCAGCATTAGTGCCACTATTATCTGCAATAATTACACGAATTTTGAATTTTTCTGCAGTTCAAGACAAAACGATGTCTATGAAGGTATGTTTCTACTCCAAGAAAAGAACCATCGACGGAAATTAATGATTATTACTGACGTCAGATTAATTTTTCACAAGAAGATACGACAGAGGGGTTCTTTTTAGCGGTTAACGCGCAAACTTGTGCCTTCTGAGGGTTAAACTGGACTAGATATAGTCGCCCCCAATCCGAGACTTTGTTCAGCAAAGTCTCGACTTCAAACACAAGTTTGTCCCGGTACTCGGAGAAGTTTTCCCGCGAACCGGCATGGCCGGTGTACAGAGCATCACCAGTGCTGTAATATGCATAGCAAAGAATGTTGCCGGTTTGCAACATATTGATATTGTAACGCTCCCCCCTCTAAATAAATATATAATATTATTTATAATAAGCTAATTTCCCCCTTTTTAATAAAATTATATACAACTTAAAATTGTTTTAACTCTTAAGACTTTCCAACTTTCATAAAAAATACTCAGCGTCGTTAATAATAAATCTCTGTTGTTTCTCAAAAGTGTTGTTTATTAAAACGATATAAACAAACTCGGTATGCTAAAAATTTGTAGTACAAAAGGCGTCGGATGCAAAATGGAAACTTGATCTTTCAAGTATTTTCCTTGTTAAACATTGTACGATGAATAGAATATGTTTCAAAGTGTTATTCGTCCATATGTTAATTAAATATTAAGGTATTTATCCGCTTCATACAAGTGTTCTTCTAATACGGAGATGTTGGCAGAAATCCAACCAGGCTGCTTTAGAAACTTCAGCCCTAGTGCTAGACGCATTTCAAGCGATAGGTCACCTTTATATTCGAATTACTATTCGCTACGAAGTTAGTGCTGTTAAAATATGTTGAAGTAGGTATTTAAATTAGGGCAAAGTCAAAAAAATTTATATATATATATATATATATATATATATATATATATATATATATATATATATATATATGTATGTATATAAGAGATTTCCACCTATGTACTGACTAATCACGATATCTCTGGAACCATAAGGCCTAGGGACTTGAAATTTAATAGAAATATTCCTTTTGTCGAGTAAAAATCAGTGAAGAACGGATTTTACAAAATACAACCCTCAAAGGGAGTTTCGGGGTGTTAATTAAAAACAGTTCACATTTTTGTATAGAGTAGCGCAAATTCCCTAAGTCTTTAAAGCTGTAAATAGTAAGGCCATTATTTAAAAACCTCGACAGATGTTGGATGTTATAGCCCAGTTGATTTGGTTACTCTATTTGCAAAGGTTTCTGATTTTTTTGTGTAAAGGTTTAAATAAATATCTTAAAGATTAAAAGGTACTCCTTCATAAGTAAAAAGGATTTGGTAAAAATAAATCTATGAATAGGAAAATTTATGACGTGCTTAACAAAATATGACATTTACATCACTATCCCGCTGCCGACCACTTTATCATCACATCATCACCGGGCGAAACATCCACCATTGGCCTGGCGTCGCGTATACCAACATTTTGGACCGACATGATGATAATATGTGGTTTCTACGTTTCGAGTCAATGATGATACTGTTATAGTACAATAGTGGTGTTATACCATGGGGAGCTGGTCAAGTACGACATGGTGGAGAGTAAGCTGAGCTAGGAGGAGTTTAGGCAAGTTAGTGACCTCATGAGTAACCCACCGGACCAAGGACGCTACACCATACTGAAGACCAGGCTCCTCAGTGTCTTTCAAGCTAGCAATGAGGCCCACTTTAACAAACTGGTGTCAGAGATGGAATTAGGGCAGCAGTGAACATCTCAGCTTCTACCCAAAATGAATGAGCTCGCGAAAAACTCCGGCGCCAAATGCGACACCCTCAAGACATTGTGGCTGGCGCGACCGCCGACACGGGTTCGCGTGATCTTGGCCACGAACAGAGCAGAAATGAAACTTGAAAACCTTGCCGAAATGGCCAACAAGGTGATGGACAATCTATGCAACGGAAAGCTGTTGGCCGTGGATGATGGCTCAGCCCGCAGCTCGTCGTTGTCCCCAACCGTGGCAGAGGTGAACGTCGAGCTGTTGACACAGATGAAGACCATGGCACTGGAGCTCAAGACGCTGCGCAGTGAGGGAAACGCCATCAACAATTGCGATCATAACAATGGTGGTAGGCGATGCGTAACCGTTCTCGTACCAGGTTCCGTACACCGCAACAGACGCCACGCAGTAAAGACTGGTTGTGCCGGTACCACTTCCGATACCGCGAGGCGTCACGATGGTGCGAGTCTTCCTGCAATTGGAAGAAGACTAACTACGACAACAAGCAGGTTAACTGGAAAGGGTGCAGAAATAAATACGTATTTTCTTACCTTAGCGCTAAATTTAAGGCTACGACGCAGTTTTAAATGGCCATTCATTATTTGTAACGCAAGTAAACCTATAATAGGCACAGATGTTTTAAAAACGCATCGCTTATTGTTATACTTACATAACAGGAAATAACTAGATTATGTAACTAATTTATGTGCTATAGGATCTAACGTAAGCTGTAGTGAGCCAACGATAAATAGCATTCTGAAATCGCATCCGTTTCGTGACTTATTGGAAGAATTTTCTGATTTAATAAAGTCCGTCTCATTTAAAAAACACACCTTAAGTTAGGTATCACATAGATACCACAGGACCGTCCGTCTACGCCAAGCCGCGATCGTTACCGCCGGGAAAGAATCAAAAGGTTAACGATGAACTACATGAAATGAACTATAGCCAATGGGTTAGATCTCGAAATGTCGTGCCAAAGAAAGTCAGCCAGATACCCCGCGGAGATTATCGTAGACTTTATGCAGTGACGAAACCGGATAGGTATCCTGTACCGAGGCTGTTGGGTTTTTCTTTTGGGTTTACAGGTAAGACAATACACATGTTTTGACATCAATAGAGCTTATCATTTTATAGAGGTTGCACGAGAAGATATCGAGAAAACAGCCATTACCATCCCTTTTGATTAATATGAGTTTCCGCGGATGAGCTTGGCTTAAGGAATGTCGCCCAAACCTTCCAAAAGTTTATAGACAACACGGTTCTGCATGGAATCGAAAATATTGGTGAAATAGGCAATGAATACGAGTCATCATTTTTTTTGTTACATTGATGTCATTCACTAAGAACATGTTCAAAAAGTATTCTAGCGATTCCACAGTATCGGGTTGACCATAAATCTAAGTAATGTTTGTTTGGAGTAAGCAAAGTCAATTATTTAGGATACAAGGTTACTCAGTTAGGAATAAGCCCTTTGCCCAACAAGGTCAAGGCTATCCTGGACTATCCAAAGATTCAGACAATCGACGAGTTACGACGTTTTCTAGGTATAGTAAATTTCTACAAGTCACGCGTGCCCAAAGTAGCTGAATGTCATATGAAATTAATGAAATTTTTACACAACTCGAAAAAAGGACAAGACAAAAATTGACTAGGACTTTGAAACCGACGACGCCTTCAAAAAATGTAAGTTAGACCTGCAAAATGCCGTAACATTATCAAATCCTGTGCTGGACGCGCAATTATCATTGATGACCGATGCTTCGAACATCTGTGTTGGCGCAGTACTGCAAAAAAAAGGTCGACGATATTTGGAAGCCGCTCAGGTATTTCTCAAAAAAACTATCAGATGCTCAACAAAAATACAGTAGATACGTTCGACAGAGAACTGTTGGCTGTGCACATTTCTAATATACATTAAAAATTATGATAGAAAGACGGGAAATGACCGTGTACACAGACCGCAAGCCTCTGATATACGCACTCACAAAGGTAAATTTCAGTAAAGAGACTCCTCGAAGAATTAGGTAGCTGTTGTTTATTAGCGAGTATACCAGCAGTGTACAACATATCGATGGTAACAATAATCCAGCCGCAGATGCGATATCGCGTATTGAAACATAAACATAGATTACGAGGAATTAGCGACAGCGCAACAAGCCGGCGTTTAAATTTCGCAAATGCTGCAGGACGCCGGTATGTCGAACAAGGTGCAGTTAAAGCGAGTTGTTATTTCCAACGTTAGCAAAAGTATATACTATAACGACGGGGACGTAATATCAGGCCTTATGTACCACCGTCACTTAGGAAGGCTGTTTTCGAATTTATACATTACATCAACCATGCAGGTATTAGGACGACTCGATCAAAAATTACTAAGAGGTTCTTTTGGCTGAATATACAAAGAAGTAGGATTATGGGTAAAAACAGGCATACAATGCCAAAAAAGCAAAGTATAAAATATTTCTAAGAACTGATGTGAAGTCTGGAGATATATAATCGAGAAGCGGCGTACCAATAACCTAATGCTTAATGATTTCTTATATTTACGCGAACATTGCACATGATTAAAACTACTTTTACGGATTTTATCGCGTTTATTTTTACTTCTTATTTTTAATTCCCGACGTTTCGGGCGCTTTCCAGCACCCATGGTCACGGGGGACTGAGATGACTGACGTCCCGATGTCATTGTTAAACCCGGAGTACCTTCAGCTTTTTTAATTATTGTTTATGGTCCGATCTATGCAAAATGAACTGACTATGTCCTGAGGTCTTGCAGTGGTATGCTTGGGTTTAGTTTTAATTTTATTGATTATAGGATCCCAAGCAGGTGGTAGTACCCAGCCTCCTTCTCTATTGAAATTAGGATGTTTTTTAATTTCAATAGCCTCACGTATCATCCTTGGTAGGAATCGGTGTTCTTTCGCGAGGATTTGTGGTCTATCAAATCTGATGTAATGGTTGGGGCCGTCTAGGATATGATCACAAACTGCAGACTTCCCGGAACGTTGATGCTTCACATCAGTCAATCAATCAAGTCTGCACTAGTGACGCTTAGGACTATGATAATCAATTAATTATTGGTAATTTTATAAGAAATCGGTGCAAAAATTAAACAAAAATAGTACGTAAATTTTTAAATATTTTATTTTCTGCTTCAGTTTTCATGGTTAAATATTGTACAATGCGCAAATATGAGCTACTAGACGGTATGCTATATCGTAAAATGAAGTTATAGCAGTGTCATACTTTAAAGTATGGACGAAATTGCTTACTGATAACAAGGACTTAGCACTATTATTTATGCCGCTTGTTTTTTTTTAAATTAACGCTTTTTTGGCTAACGCATGTATTGCACCCGGGTTAGACAGGTTCACCCCATTTTTGTTTTATTCATATCTGCGTTATATTTTGTGCAAAAGTTGTTAACTTTAATCAGATTGAGTCTGCTGGAAAATCGCTACGAAATTATTCAATTTTCCGCTGATTCATTTAAAAACTATTTTAAGTTTATTTGACTGTAATCAAATACATAATTTCAATAGCTCGTAATTAATTCACTCTTGAACATGCTTTTCTTACGTTGTAAATGTTAATCGTTTTATCGACGATGTAATGGTTAAAGAGAAAGAAGCTACTTGTGAGGAATTTTACTTTGTAAAATTCCTCACAAGTAGCTGAAACAATTTTTGGGTCATAATATGTCATAATCGTTTAAATATAATCATTATCGTTGATCCTGCCCGATTTTAGATCATAGCGAAATTTTTTAATCAATTGCGTAGTAGTGAGATACGCAATTGTAGTGCTGTTATTGTAATCATAATAGAGCTCCCTAATAGTCGTTTACTCATACTAACCTACGTCCAAGGTAACGCTTATATAATATGATCAAAACATGGGTACAGTTATAACACGATACTACTCAAATACTAAAATGCATCCAACCGTTATAGCCTATAAAAGATTACTGCTAAACATAGGCCGCACCGAAAACTTTCCTTTAGGGTTAATTTTGCCGTACTTGCCATGCTTAGCAGGCGGTTTTTTATAATTTTGAGCTGTTAGCAGGAGTATGCATCTTCTATTTCAGTTTCCCTCGGTCTCCTCTAACGAAACCCATGGGATGATATGGGTTAGTGTGTATTCCTATACCACAACCACACGGTGATACTCAAATACTAAAGGCTAGCTCATACACAGTTGTTTAACCAATTTAAATATTTAAACGCATTTTATGCTTGTGACGATTTCATGAAGATTATAATCGTCGATGGTCAATGATACAGCCGATCTAAACGTTATTTATTTACTTTTTAATTTAGTTTTATCTATCGCCGGGTTGATTCCAGTGCCCAATTATACTTAATAATTATAACCGCTATTATAAATAAGAAAGGTATCGTTTTTCCTCTGATTTATAAAAATAACAAACAATAAAGTATGATAAATTAACAGAAATAAGAAAAAATAAGAATTGTGTACATGATGCATCAGTGTCAGATTGTTTAAAAATAGAGTAAATATGACCATGTATCTTCTTTTCGTAATCAGGTAAATCGGCTGCCTATCCGTCAGCGCAGATATGTTAGAATACTCTGCACGCTTTTCACAATTCCGAGCGATCCATGTGCTCCCGAGTATCTAAAATCCAAATTTTTATATCTGGGAGATTATCATAATTGTTTTGTCCGTTCTTCGGCTAATCTTAAAATCCTCATTCCTTTACACCGTACTTTTTACTTATCTGACCCTTTGACCCTCAGGGTCATCAAATTCTGAAAATACATTTTATTTGACATCTGAAATGCTCCCGTCGGCTTTATTTTTAAAAATCAAATCCATGTAGTGAACATTTTATGTCTTCATTAGACTCGAAAGAGCCGTGGTAGCTCAGATGGTTAACGTTCGCTGTAAATTTAACAGAACGCGAGTAACCCGGGTTCGATCCCCGCCGGCACCAACAAAATTGTTAAATGCAATTTTAAGTGTTGATTTACCACGTGCTCAGCGGTGAAGAAAAACATCGTGAGGAAACCTGCATGTCTGAGGAATAAGAAAAAAATATTTCAAAGACAAGTGAAGTTCGCCAACACGCATTGGGGCAGCGCGGCGGACACTTCATTGCCCTAAAACCCTTTCAGAAATGAGGGGAGACCTGTGCCCAGCAGTGGGACGTATATAGGCTATAACTTTACTTTTACTTTATTAGATTCGAAAAGAGTTAATGGATAATTTTATAAATTTACTATATATTATTATATGTACTATAATATAAAAGTTAAAATAATATTTCTAGAATTTTAGTTGTATAACTCTTATAAATAACATTTAAAAAATAATTGTTCTGATCACTTTTATCTATGGTTCTGAGTAATATAATTTACTCTGTGGTTCTGAGGGTTCTCTTATAAATATTACTATCTCTTATATCTTATATACTATAATCTTTCGAGGAGTCCACAAATTTGTCACGTGGGAGACCAATGTAGACTTGAAAGGCTTGACAGATTAAACTTTGTTTTACAGAATTAGCTTGATAAGCCAGCACACAGCCCACCTTATGCTAAGTGGATGCTGTGAATGGTGACAGATAGGGCTCGTAGGAAAAAACGATTCTACGAGTTAGAAAAGCAGTTTAATAACTTCATCTTCTTCATCTCATTCAGCGCTCTTTTAATTTTTATTCGCGGGTTTATAGATATGTTTATATTAAGAA